GACAGACATGGAAAACAAGCTGGTTACCAAAGGGGAAAGGGAGAGGGGGAGGGATAAATTTAGGAGTGTGAGATTAACAGATACAAACTATAATATGTAAAACAGATAAGCAACAAGGATTTACTGTAGAGCACAGGGAACTGAATTCAATGTCTTATAATAACCTATAATGGAAAAGAATCTAATATATATATATATAAATATATATAACTGAATCACTTTGCTGTACACCTGAATCTAACACAATATTGTAAATCAACTACACTTCAATTTAAAAAAATCACTTGATATCAACTCTTTTTGCCATTTTTCTAGCTCCTCCTCTGCCATTTTTCTCACTAGACCCAAGAGATACCCCAGCAGCAAGACTGGTTTTTATCCTGAATGTCAGGTAGACCTTCTATCTTTCTTTCTTTATCAAGAGAGCAGAGTCTTCTCCTGCCTTTTTTTTTTTTTTTCTTTTGCAAAGTGAGGCAAGTAGGACATAGAAGAAAAGAAATAAGCCAAAGAGCCCTCCCCAAAGTGACAGGTGGGAAAATTGTTTGGCCTTTTCTGCTACACACACAAGCAAGATGTTGTCAAATTCTGTAAACCCTTCCTGCCTGAGAAAGTGTGTCTACAGGCTGTTCCCTGGTAAAGCCATTAGCAATTTGGAGAGCAAGAAGGTGAGCCCAGAAGGTGTGAGGTCTGTGCAGGTGGAGGCTGCCTTTCCAGCCTGTCTTCTCTTTTCCACATCAAGATTCTCCTTCGCAAAGCAGCAGACCACCTCCTCCAGCAGCGGACACCCAGACCTGCCGCCTGTCCCCCAGAGCCTTCTCCTTCCTTTCTGGGCTCTCAGAGCAGTAGCTGAGCTGAGGGCACAGGTCTGATGTCCCACCCCTGGCCCTCACCCCTGCAGGCCCCTCTGAGCCTGGCCTGTCATTCATAAGAGCAGGTCCTCCTCTTAGAGTGTGTGGGACTTCTACACCATCCTTTCATGGCCAAAATGATAAGAATGTTAATTATACTAATAACCACTGTTGATTGACTGCTTTCTGCTTACCGGTCACAGTGCTAAGTATTCGACAAGCGTGGTTTTGTCTGAGTCCTCCAACAACTCTATAACATGCATATTAATGGCATCTCCATTTCACAAAGGAGGGAAGTGAGTCTTAGAAGGGGGATTCCTAAAGTCAGCTGGTATACTGCCCGGTGGTGGGCAGTGAGGGCCCTGCAGATGAGCCTGGGAACTGATCCCCAAATATAAGGCCCTTTTGCAAGATTCTGATAGAGAAGTCAAGCCAAACTGTTCAGACTCATTTTTACCTGCAGTTAAGAGCTGCTTAATAACAGTCTCATAATTGTATGTGGGTGGCTTGGCAGTGCTGTATTGGCTCCACTATCCCTAAGTATGTGTACAGATGGTGGGTCCATAGTTTTCACAACTCTCCCTTATCAGGTGTCATTGCCATTGTCTTCAATTGGCAGCCAATTTCTGTTAACATTTTCTTGTTCTTGAACGATACCTTACTGTTTTTTCAGCTTTATCACTATTTATGTAGTTTGTTGTAGGTTCTCCTCTTAACCCTGTAGGGAGTGGTGAGGTACACTGACGTATTTTCACCTGTTATTTTCCAAGAACTAGATTGAAGAAATGTATATATCATACTGGGCTAAACCAAAGGAAATTGCTCATATTCAATCATTTTTACCTTAGGTTAAACCATATGATACTGACTATATTCAACCATTTTTTTTTTTTTTTTTTTTTTGCGTTATGCGGGCCTCTCACTGTTGTGGCCTCTCCCCTTTGCGGGGCACAGGCTCCCGGAGG